GAATAAGCAAACAAATAGGTAAACAAGAATTAATTGTATAAAAAGGAATTTACTATTGATCAAACAGTAATTCCTCATTTTGCTGCTGCTGCTGCTGCTGCTGCTGCTACTGCTGCTACTGCTGCTGCTGCTGCTGCTGCTGCTGCTGCAGGACGGGTTGCTGATGGCGCACCTCATAGCCAAGCAAGCCATCAGGCAGGCATTTTTTGTCTTTTTGTTTTTTTATCTTTTTAAATCATTTTTGTCTTCCTTATAATTTTTTAATTCTATTTTCTCTCCTTTTTGTCTCTTTCATTTAGAAGAAGTAAATATAATTATTTGCAAAAGAAACAATTCAAAAATATAAATAATTAATTAAATTTACTTGTTTTGCATGCATTATTTACTTATTAAATATATAATTACATTCATTTATTTTGCACGCATTATTTATCTTTTTGAAACTAAAAATTGTTTTCATTCCCTTTTCATCTAAAAAACAAATATAATTATTTACAAAATAAATAATTAAAAAAAATGACATTGACTTGCTTTTCATGCATTATTTATTTATTAAAAAGCAAATAATTATATTTATTTGTTTTGCATTTAAACAAAACAAATATAGTTATTTACAAAAAAATGTTTCCAATAAATAGATAATTAAATATTTTGTTTTGTATGCATTATTTATTCATTTCAAAGTAAATGATCGTATTTATTTCTTCTGAATTTAAAAGAAACAAGTATAATTATTTTAAAAATAAATAAAAACTAAAAAGTAACCAAATAATTATATTTTTTTGTTTTGCATGCATTAGGGTAATAGACGCAAAAACAGGAGAAAGAAAAGCAAGTGTAGAGACACCCTTTCCAGTCAAGTGGCTCGCCCTCACCGAAAGGTAAAAACACTAAACCCTAAACCCTAAACCCTAAACCCTAAACGGTAAACTCTACCTTTGGGCAGAACAATTGTGTTTGCTGGTTTGGCTATGTGTGACCAGATGATGCAGCCTTCAAGGGGTTTAGGGTTTAGGGTTTAGGATTTAGGGTTTAGTGTTTAGGGTTTAGGATTTAGGGTTTAGGATTTAAGGCGTAGCTTTTAGAGGTCTACACGTTTCATAAAAGCGCAGAATGAAGGAGAACAGCACCAAAACCACAAAACTAAAAATAGATAAATCAAATTAGATTAAATTAAATTAAATTAAATTAAATCAAATTTACTTAAATTAAGTTAAGTTAAATTGAATTAAATGAAAATGAAGATTTAATTTTTTTCGCAGAGTCCTCCTCTTCCTCCTCGCCTGTGGGGAGCTGTACCTTCTCCCTTTTGCTGCAGCAGCAGATCAGCAGGAGCAGGAGCAGCAGCAGCAGCAGCAGCAGCAGCCGCTGCTGCTGCTCAGCTGCTGCAGCAAAGCGGAGCTGCTCATGGATGATTATGTTCTTGTTGCTCAAACGGGGGATCGTACAATCTGCATTTGGTGAGACCTGAGACCTAAACCCTAAACCCTAAACCCTTGATCTCGTTTCAAGTAAGCAGCAGCTGTTTAGGGTTTGGGGTTTAGGGTTTGGGGCTCGAATTTAGCATTAAATGGCACATGTGTAAAACAGTCACTTCTTCCTGGCTTATGAATTGACCCTAGAGTGCTCGAAATTTAGAGTTTATGGTTTAGGGTTTAGGGTTTAGGGTTTAGGGTTTAGGGTTCAGGATTCAGGGTTCATGATTTGAGTGTTTAGGGTTCACGGTCTAGAGCTAACGTTTTTGCGTTTAGGATTTAAAGTTTAGGGTTTGGAGTTTAGGGTTTGGAGTTTGCGATTTAGGGTTTACGGCTTAGCGTGTAGGGTTCAGGGTTTAGGTGGCGCTTAGGGTTTAGGGTTTAGGGTTTGGGGTTTAGGGTTTGCGTTTTAGGTACAACATCGAGGACTTTCGGCGCGTGGAGTTGCTGGGAGTTGAGGGTTTACTTTTGGGATTTGTTTTTGAAGTTGAAAAAGAGAAAAAGAAAAAAATGGAAAAGTGGAAAGTTGCAGATACACCGCAAGCCCCCACAGTAGCTGTACGTACACCCCAGAAGCATGCAGCGACTTTTCTCGCAATTTCGAATTTCAGATTTTCTTTCGAAAAACTAATGAGACAAAAGCGCCATAGAGAAGTAAGTTATTTAACTTAATTTTAATTTATTTGTTTTTATTTTAATTCCTTTCTTTCGAATTAATTATGTTTCAAAGAACTCCTTTGGTAACTTGAATTTCTTGGATTTGTTTTTCCTTTTTGTTCGAACTCGCTTATATTTATTGCTTTTAATTAATCAATTAATTGATTGTTAATTCTTTTATTTAATTCCTCTGTTTGTTTGCAAAATAATTGAAGAAAATTAAACATTAAATGGGTCCTTGGTTTCCTGCTTTTTCCTGCTGCAGGCGCTGCTGCTGCTGCTGCAGCAGCAAGAAGTAGCAGCAGCAGCAGCAGCAAGTCTGTGGCAGCGCCTCAGAGATTCCATTTTAGACTTTGAGCTTTTCAAACCCTTTAATTCGAGTTGGGGGGCCCCCCTTGACGGGGGGGGCCCCCCTGAGGGTTTGTGGGGCCTGCAGCAGCGACTTGCTGCTGCTGCTGTTGCTGCAGCAGCAGCAGGAGATGCAGCAACAGCAAAGTTCATTCGGAAAATAAACAAAAGACAAAACAGCGGCAACAAAGAAACGCAGGAAACAGATAAAGCCTTCCTCATGCTGAAAGCCGGGTCAGAACTCAGCGCCCCATACCTAGGGTTTGGGTTTAGGGTTTAGGGTTTAGGGTTTAGGGTTTAGCCAACTGAGCTGCAAAGCAGAAAAGCAATTTAGCAGAAGCAAAAAATTTGAATTTAGCCATCCAACATATTCATAATCAATTAAATAATTAATTAATTAACAATTAATTAATTAATTAATTAATTGATTAATAATTAATTAATATATTTATTCATTTATTTATTTGTTTGTTTGTTATTTTTGTTTGCTGCTGCTGCAGTGCTGCTGCACTAAAGGGACAATTCGCAGCAGCAGAGGCGCTGCTGCTGCAGCAAGGAGCAGCAGCAGCAGCAGTAGAGATGCACAGGCAATTATACAGGTAGCAATTTAAATAATTATTTATTTATTTGTTTTCTTTTAATTTACTTTTATTTATTCTGCTTTTAATTTTTGTTTTTGTATTTTGTTAAAAATCAATTTTAAAAATAGATTTAAATAAAAAACATTTTAAATGCAAATACAAAGAGTATGCTGTATGTACAGCTGGTGGCATCTAAAAAGCACATATTTTGCTGCTGCTGCTGCTGCTGCTGCTGCTCTTGCTGCTGTTGCTGCTGCTGCGGTTGCTACTGCTACTGCTGCTGTTGATACTGTTGCTGCTGCTGTTGCAGGTGGCCAGAAATGATACGGTTGCTGCAGCAGCAGCAAGATGAAGCAGCAGCAGCAGCAGCAAAAGAAGAGTATAAGCAGTGGCTGCTGAAGGAACAAAGAGTCCGCAGCAACTTAGTTTCTCAATTAAAATTAATTAGTTAATTAATTAGTTATTTAATTAAAAATTAAATTAACTAACTAATTAATTAATCAATTATTTATTTATTTATTTAATTTATTTGTTTATTTAATTTAATTATTAGTTATTAATTAAATATTAAGTTAACTGATTGATTAATTAATCAATTAATTAATTAATTAATACTCTTCTTTTTATTACCATTTGAAAGGGTTTATTATGAAGGCTTTTATTCTCTTTAAGGCAATTGCCTTAATTTGAAACAAAATAATTAAAATAAAAAACTAAAATAAATAAATAAAATAATAAAATAAATAAATTTAAATATATGTAGATGAATATAACTAGAACTCCAACAAATATCCACAAATATATTTATATATAAGTGCAATAATATGCTCTTAGCAGGCGCTTTGAAAGTGACCTGCAGCTAGGGTTTAGGGTTTAGGGTTTAGGGTATAGGGTTTAGGGTTTAGGGTGTACTGGCAAAACAGTGTTTCCGAATTGCCGCAGCAGAAAGTATTTATTTTTGGGAATAAAATTTGAAATGAATTAAAACATTTAATATATTTAATTTGTTTTAAATAAATTATTTATTTAAATTAATTTTTTTTTATTTTTTATTTCAGTTTGAAGAAGCAGCAAATATTTATCTCAAAGAAGCAAATTTTGCAGAAGCAGCAAAACACTTTCTTGCTGCTGCAGTACCCTCTCTTGCTGCTGTTGCAGTAATCAGGGCCCTTCCGGCTGCTGCTGCTGCTGTTGGCGACGGTGCTGCTGCTGCTGCTGCTGCTGCTGAAGGACCAGCAGCAGCAGCAGCAGCAACAGGGGGGCAGCAGCGCAGCCTGTGCAGCAAAGAGCTGCAGCAAAAGATAAACAGTATTTTTGGAAAAGATTTAATTGAAAAAATTGTAAAAAGTTTAATTAAAATTAATTTAAATGAAACAGCTGCTGAACTCAAAGAACATACTGGAGACTGGGAAGGCGCGCTGCAGCTGCTGAGGTAACCCACCCTAAACCCTAAACCCTAAACCTAAACCCTAAACCCTACTTTTACACTTTGCACTTTTATTTATTTATGAAGTTTAATTAATTATTTTTTGATGCTTCCCGCATTTGTTTGTTTGTCTTTTCGTTTTTAACTTTAAATTTTTTATTTTAACAGTTTATTTACCTTTTGCACTTTTTTTTCGTTTGTTTTTATTTTCTAGAGTTTATTATTCAATTTTATTCTTTAACTATTATTTCATTTCTTTTTCTGTTTTTGCCTCTGTCTTTTATTCGATTTATTCTTTTTGATTTGTCTCTCTCCACCCGTCCTTCAATCCCTTGAAACCCTAAATCAGGGTTTAGGGTTTAGGGCTTAGGGTTTAGGGTTTGAGCATGCTGCAGAGAATGCAAAAGATTTTCGAAAGCTGTTTCTTTGGCTGCTTCTGCTGCTCCTCATTTGCTGCCGCAAGTCTACCAAGACTGGGCCGAAGACTGCCTAGAAAAAGGAGACGTAAACCCTAAATTAGGGTTTAGGGTTTAGGGCTTAGGGTTTGAGCATCAGCCCTCGCGTCGTTTCAAATAAACGCTTAAAAAAAACAAATAATGAGACATATAAATATGATAAACAAATAAATAAATAAATAAATAATAAATAAATAAATAAATAAATAAATAAATAAATAAACATAAATAAATAAATAAATAAATAAATAAATAAAAGGGTTTTGTTTTGCTGCAGCTGGGGGCTGCAGCAAAACTCTACTTGCGGGGGGGAAATGCAGAACAGGCTTTTGGGGCTGCAGTTCGAGGGGGCCTTTGGAAAGAGTCGAAGAGGATTTTGATGAGGGAAAAAGAGAAAATAAAAGGAGAAAAAAAAGAAGAAAAAGAAATAAAAAGTGGAAAAGAATCCAAAAATGAAAAGGAATTCGAAAATGCAATTCAATTTGATCCAAAATGCCCCAAAAATGATCCAAAAAGACTTCAAAATCATTTTTTTTCAAAAACAAATGTTTTCCAAAATCTTTTTTTTGTCGCCACAAAACTCGAACACCAAAATGAAATTGAAGACGCCGCAGAAGCTTACCTGGAGGTAATTATTTTTATTTTATTTTAATTTATTTTTATTTTATTTTATTTTATTTTAATTTTATTTTATTTTATTTTTGTTTTATTTTATTTTTATTTTATTTTATTTTATTTATTTTTATTTTATTTTATTTTATTTATTTTGTCTTGTTTTTATTTTGTTTTTATTATTATATTTTATTTTTATTTTTATTTTTATTTTTATTTTAACTTTATCTTACTTTATTTTATTTTATTTTATTTTTATTTTCTTTTCCTTTTTGTTTGTATTTATTAGTTATTTGCTTTAATTTATTGTTTTACTTTTTTTTGTTTTTATTTCATGTTTGTTCGTTGTTAATTTATTTTATTGCTTTTCATCTCCTTTTTAGGTGTTGTTTATTTGCTTTATTTGCTCTTATCTGTTTTTTATTTGCCTTTTATTTGTTCTTTTTGTTTTTATTTATTTTGATTCGTTTTTATTTGTTTTTTTGTTTTCGAGTTGCTTTTATTCCTGTTTCATTCATTTACATGTTGCTGCTGCTGCTGCTGCTGCTGCTGCTGCTTGTGCTGCTGTTGTTGTTGCTATTGGCGCTGCTTTTCCTCCTCCTCTTGCTTCTGCTGCTGCTGCTGCTTGCCACTGTTGCTGCCTCTTTTGCTTCTGCTGCTGCTGCTGCTGCTGCTACTGCTGTTGATGTCGCTGCTGCTGCTGCTACTGCTGCTGCTGCTGCTGCTGCTGTCTCTAGGCAGGAGCCCCTGAGGAAGCTGTTCGTCTTCGAGTGGAAAAGGGACAATTGGCGGCTGCTATAAAAGTAATTAAAAACAAAATTTAATTTAATTTAATTTATTTTAATTTGTTTTAATTAATTTGAATTTAATTTATACTAACCTCATATAGTATAATTGAATTCAATTTAATTCAATTTAGTTTATTTTATTCAATTTAAGCAACTTACTTTAGGTTATTTTGCCAAGCTGAAATATAAAACAATGAACTTTTATTTTTATTTCTTGAAACAAAAAGGAGACAGAATGGGGACAATTTAATTTTTCTTTTAATGTTTAAGTGAAATAAAAAGAAGGAAAGCGTCCAGGATGACTACAAATTGGTTAATTAATTAAATAATTTATTTATTTATTTATTAATAATTAATTAATTAATTAATGAATTTATGAAAATATTGATAATTTATTTATACTGCACTGATGAATTTCTTTATCTATTCATTTATTTATTCATTTGAAGTGAAAATAAACTAATTTATTTATATGTTCATTTATAATAGATTAATTATTTAGTGAAATAATTATAAAACCAATTAATTAGTTAGTTAGTTAGTTAATTATTTAATTAATTAATTAATTAATTAATTAATTATGTAATTAATTAACATTCATTTAATGCTTTTGCAAAAATAAATTAAATGTTTTTTCAGCTTGCTGCAAAAGAAGCAAAAAACGAAAAAGTGAAAAATTACATGAAAGCTTTGGCAGCAGAACTTGCAGCACAAGACAGATACGAAGTAAGAATTAATTAATTAATTATTTAATTAATTAATTAATTAATTAATTAATTGCTTACTTAATTAATTAATTAGTGAATTAATTAATTAAATAGTTAATTAATTTATTATTTAATTGATTTACTAATTAACTAATTAAATATCTTATTCAACTAATCAATTAATTAATTAATTAATTAATTAATTATTTTATTCAACAATTAATCAGCTAATTGATTCCTCCATTCAATTATTTAAATAATCACTTCATCAATCGATTATTTAATTAGTCAATTAATCAATTAACTAATTACATGATTTATTTATTTATTTATCTATTTATTAATGATTTATATATTTATTTATCATGTATTTATCTATTTATTTATTTATTTATTTATTTATTTATTTATTATTTATTTGTTGATTGCTTAATTATTCATTCACTTATTTATCCATTTGTTTGTTTATTTTTTTAATTTTTTAAATTATTTATTCTTTATTTATTATTTATTTATTTATTTATTTATTTACTTATTTATTTGTTTATTTATTATTTGTTCAGGAGACCCAAGCTGTGTTATTTGCAATTGGGGAAAAAGAAACTCTTTTTAATTTGCTGCAAAAAAGGAGACAGCCAGAAAAGCTGCTGCTGCTGCTTTCGGAGACAGAGTGAAATTCATTTTAATTAATTAAATTGAATTAATTTAATTCAATTAAATTTAATTTGATTTAATTTGTTTTGAATAACTTGATTCGATTTAATTCATTTGAATTAGCTACTTTGAATTAGTTTGATCTGGTTGATTTGATTTTTTAGTTCGATTTGTTTTAGTTTAATACAGTTCAAGAAATTAATGTGCTGCTGCTGCTGCTGCTGCTGCGGCTCCTGCTGCTGCTGCTGCTGCTGCAAGACAATCATTGTTCAGTTAACTAATTAATTAATTAATTAATCAATATAATCATCATTTAATTATTTATTTAAACCACAAAAATATGTATTGATTGATTGATTGATTGATTGATTTACTTATTA